CTCATCGTTCTCAATGGCTGGTGCAGATGCATCCACTCCTTGTGACTTATGATTTCCAATAAAACTACATAGTTCTTCGTTATTACAATTCCTTTTTCTCACACCTCTGCTTACTGTCTCTATTATGCATTTCTTGTACTTTCTTCTCTTGCTTTGTGTGCTACATGGAGGGAGTGTGGCGACTTGAAGTGGCGCACATTTGTGCAAAGTTCTATGTCGAAAACAGACAGACAGACAGACAGTCTGGAGATCTACACTTTGCAGCATAAAGAACAATATTAGGATTTTTAACAAAAATGTTAAATCAGTCACTTCTTCTATATGGGTCAGCAACTTGCACTGAGCGTGAGTCACGGAAAAGGACTTTCAACAGGTGACTGCAGACATTAATCAACAGCTGCCATCTTCGCTGGCTGACTGGCTCCATGCTTAAGATGAAAAGGCCACCCAGCCGGCCGGCCGGCCGGCCGGAGGACCTACCAAAAAGAATTATCAACAAGAAACTCTGGTAGTCAATGAATGAACCCCAACTAAGAGCCGATTGCTCAACAAATATTTTGAAGAAAGCGGAGATGAATCGGAGATATGTCGAGGAGGCCGTCGAATGACATCGCACTCAATGCAGGTCATCTACCACTCGAGTGTGACAACTGAATAGGAAGCGACGAGTGAGTAGTTGGTGACAGGCTGACATGGAGGAGATGAGAAATTATGGGTAATCGTGGGATAAGCCAGCTGAAGAGAACAACAGAAAATAGGCGAAAGCGGAGATGTGTTGTTGAAACGCTATTTTCCACTGGGAACCCACATAATATTGTCTAAAAATCAACTGAACTACACCTTTTATGATTCATAATTAGATTTCTTTGAAAAAAAGCATCATCTAAGGCCTTAACAATGACATCCATCTCTACTGATTACCTTTGAAAATTAATCTTCTGTCGGTTAGTGATCGAAGTTCCAGTGAAAAGTGGGGTGATCAGTTGGAGGTAAGGAGTGAGGACAAATACTGGTCGACGACATTGTCTGATAGGTTATGCTAAACGTGTCACACATTGACAAAAATTCAATTTCATAGGCTTTCTCGTAAACAGACTTCAAGTTAGGTACCATATGGTACGTATGAGATAGCGGTGATTATGTTTCCTACAGTTCACTCTCAGTTTACACTGAATCATAATAGACATCGATGTACTTGTAAATTATTCATGAAATTAGATCAGCAAGAAGGGGAACCATTTAGTTAGTGAGCTAGTAAGTCAGTTGGATTTGCTGTTATATCATTCCGCACTATTTCATACACTTAGTTCCCCTTAATAAATTTCGATTAATTTTTTTCAAGTATTGGTTTTTTTTGGGGGGGGGATTTTGTTTGATTGGTTGGAAGATCTCATCATGAGCTGACACATCAGTTAGAGAACCACTGGAAAACCACCTAGAAGTGCTGCAAGACAGCTGTTTCTTCCTATTTTGAGATTCCTCACGGTACGCACCTGTCGGGATTCGAACCCAGACAGTTACCTGGAGTTCTAGCCACAAGCCGTGACCATTAGGGTACAGCAGGTTAAAGGCGAGGCAGTAACTCATCGAAGAAGACGTTACGAAGTGGTCACGCTATGTTATGAATTGGTAGAAGTTAGAATTCATGGGCTGGCCATTGTATCGGGTCTCAGTAGCTGCTTAACGATCTTTAACTTATTAAATAGTCAGTAGAACAAATGGATCTCGTCTTTCCAAGTCACATCATTTACAGGTACAACGTTTTCTCTCTACCTTTTTTTTTTCTCTTTCTGTATTCATTTTTGTTATGTGCTGTTTTGTTTCTCTCTTCCTTACAAACTCTACTTAAAACATTCTTGTTCGTTCTTTCACACTCTGTATACCTCGACCATTTTGCTATTGCTTACGCCAGTAAATGTGCTAGTAGTATCTACTTTTCTAACACCTTCAAACACTCTGTTTAAATTTTGGCTTTGCTACCGACCGACATGCCAATACGTCGTTGTCAAAACTAACTGAGATAACCTTAATCTATGTAGAACTATATTTATTGTTAATGTACTAATTGGATGCAATATTGTAGTAAAATGCTGAGAATTCCATTCTGTATCACAAGTACTGATTTGGAATAAAGCTTAACTTATCTTATCTTATCTCGTCTTGTAACCAGTAGGTTCTGGGTTCGAACCCCGGTGGTTAGGTACTGTGAAGAGTTCCAAACTAGAACGAAACAGCTGTTCAGTACTCTCAGGTGGTTTTCCAATGGTTCTCGAACTGATGTCAGCACCTGATGATATAATTTCTCGATGATATATTTGTCGTCTCAATGATTTCTTTCCTAACATTAAAGTCACCATACAACATGGAAATAACGATGACTTCAATTTCCTGAACTTTAGTTTATGAAGAAGAAACGATGGTATGATCGAAAAGTCCATCGATAGAAAAGAAACCTCTGCCGGGAAATATCTTCACTATAATAACTTCTGTCCCAGAAGATAGAAGCCATGGATTAGTGATGATACTGTACAACAGAGCCAGGAAGCTATGTTCACCAACCAAGCTGAGAGGAAGAATTAGGCTTTGTTGAGAAATGCTTATGGGAAAGTGGGTATTCACAGGGATTTATTTACCCAAAACTATATCAAAGCACACGACGAGAAAATGAAACATCTAACTGCTGAGAAGAAGAAAGTGTTTATTTGTCTTCCATTCAAATAGAGAAGCAATATAGCGAATGATTTATAAGAGAATGAAAGGAACAGTAAAATGACGCTTCCCTGGAGCTAGGCTCGCAATACTAATACAGCACCACATGCTCTATATAAGTCAATCTCAACTGGATTAGTACCCTAATGATGTCACCTACAACTGAGTTTATAAATTTATATGTAACTGCGATAGCAAGTACACTGAAAAAAAACAGAAAGAAGGGTTTCCATCCACTTTCTTCACAGGATATTCCAAGAAATTTATGTCTGAAGGGAACTTGATATTCTCAAAGTGCAGTCACCAGACACCTTATGTATACGGACTATTTCGTCGATATTTTCGAATCATGCTTCAAAATATTAAGCATATTTAGCACACAGTAAATTAACAGCTTGCTGAAGCGATTGCGGTCAAGCCTTTCAAACGAAACTCATGCATACAGAAAGACAATGTGTAATCAAAAGTTAATTGGTGGATGATAATGCGCATTTCGTCCTATTTTGGACTCATCATCTGATATCCCCACCAAAGGTCGAACCCACTGCCCATAATTTCAAACGCCAAAGTGTTATCCACTAAACCAATTGGGCCACGAGCTTTTATGCAACGGGTCATATTAATTTAATTGGATTTGAGATTTTCCCGTTGATCGACTGGAGCGAAGTGTTTGGTCTGAGGTGTAATCACTCTCTCACTAGCTTGGTGACTACATTTTGATTACACTGACTGATCATCCACATTAGTGATTTCAGCTCATTGAGCAAGTTTTTTTTTTGTCAATCTTATGAAGCCATGTGTGCTTATAAGGGGAAAAACTGTTGATTAGATTTTCCTGTTTTCTGTCTTCGCCCTTCCCCTTCGTTTTCTACTTTAAGTGGCATATAAATTGAGACGGTGACTTAGACTCAAGGTTGTAATGCTCATATTTCGGATGTGTTAACCGCTAATGACACTTTCTCTGCTATTATTGCAACACTGAAGTATGTTATTTGGCATCATACTTCTGTAACCATTGGAATTTCAGGCAGTTTTCAGCTAATGAGAGGGACCTTTGAAATAGAATGATGGTGATATTATGTGGTCCTGAAAGTCTGGTCTTTCTTTCTCTATCGAAATTTTCCACTACCCTGGCTCCTTCACTGTAGCATACCGGTAGGACTGCGGATCTTTGAAGGGTTCTGTTAGAAAACTGATCATTCGGACATCTGAAGCTTTTGACATTCACTACACGAAAAAATATCCAGCCAGCTTACTACTGAAGAGTCCCAAGCAAGGACGAAAAAACTCAACCTAGTAGTCCCTGATCTTTACGAATTCTTCTCCAACAATCTGTGATGAGAATTCGAAAGCAATCAAAACCCTGGAACCTAGCTTTTCGAAAATGATGTATCCATGATGGTATTTGTCACATGGAGACAAATAACAGTCACCTGAATTTGTTGTATGTTGACAACCGCTCATTCAAATGAATCATTTCAACAACAAACCATTACCTGTGTTATGATAGTGATTAAACCAACCCGAAATTGGTGCATGTCCAATATGTGATTACAACTAATCAGTGAACAAAGCCTAGACAGACCAATGATCTCAAAGAGCGTAGACCAAACACACACACACATATTCACTGTCTCAGTACTCGTCTTAATTGAATTGAATATATGTGCCTTAAATATAAACCATCATTTTAATCGTGAACGTATTGGAGTGTGTGCGTATGTATATGTATACTTATGTATATATCATTGCGCATTCAGTAGATAGACAGACAGACAGATTGCCAATCCTATCGATCAGTTCATTACTCTGTAATTGGCTGTTGATCAATAACTGAAATTATTGCTTGTGTGACGGACAGACGCTGAAATAATAACCGTCTTAACTACCCTTTTGTTGTATTGAATTTATTGTGCGCGCCGATCTATTTATCGGTCTATCGATCGCACGCCTTTATAACTTATAGTGTTCCTCTACAACTCTATTGAGATCCACCCATATTCCTCTCATAAACGTGGTTGGAAAGACGGATTTTTTGCATCCTCCTCTTCTATCTTAAGCGATATTCTCTTACACAGTTTACGGAGATTATAGCCCAGTGGATGGTCGGGAGACTACCAACACTGGCTGACAGAAAAATGTGGATCTATGTCTAATTTTTATTTCAATTTTATATAAAAAAAAACCAAAAAAGAAAAAATACCAGAGAATTTTCTATATTTTCACAACCACTATTTCTACTACATCTACTACTATTTTTAGTAAAATGTTCAATTATTTGTCTTCTAAACATGCGCAAATCCGATAGACCATCTGGTCTAACATACCGTAAGTTTTCGTTTCATTGTGTTGTTGCTCTTGTTCATGAATAATCGTCAGACATTAATGAAAACAAAAGACGCAAATTAGCAGAAGTGTTGGCATTCATAGACCACACGATCTGGTCCCAGTGGCTGCTTAACGGTCTACAACCCCATCTTGCCTTGTAACCAGAAGGTCCTGGGTTCAAAACACAATGGGTGGGTGGGTGCATGCTTCTGAAGAGTCCCGAAATAGGGCGAAATAGACAGCTGTCTTGTAGTACTTACTCCTAGGTGGTTTTTCAGCGGTCCTCTAACCAACCGATGTCAGTTCATGATAAAATCTTTAAACAAAACATATTTGTTTTAATAAAGTCTCACAGTGGTTTTCATACAGTGTTATAATAATAATAATAACAATAATAATGATTTACTTTCTATAGTTTGGTTTGTAAGGATTAGTTATGTTTTACGAGTTGATCACGGATTGATATCAGTTAGAGAACCATTGAAAACCAGGGAGTACTGGACAGCTGCTGTTTCATCCTAGTTTGGGAATCATCGGCAGTACGCACCCACTGGGTTTCGAACCCAGGACCTTCCGGTTACAAGGCAAGCTCGTATACCATTCAGCCACTGGGACCCGATTCAATGGCTCGTGAATTCTAACTTCTACCAATTCGTGATTTAGCGCGACCCCAACCATTGTCGTTGGTGGGACATCCATCCACACACGTGACATCTAATTGGACCTCACTGGTCACGACTTCTCACTAGAACTCAGGAAACTCCAACCTGTAGCAAGTCACTAGCGAGCATCAGATTAACTTTCTATAGATTTTGGTTTGTAAGAATTAGTTATGTTTTACGAGTTGATCACGGATTGATATCAGTTCGAGAACCATTGAAAACCAGGGAGTACTGGACAGCTGCTGTTTCATCCTAGTTTTGGGAATCATCGGCAGTACGCACCCACTGGGTTAATCTGATGCTCGCTAGTGACTTGCTACAGGTTGGAGTTTCCTGAGTTCTAGTGAGAAGTCGTGACCAGTGAGGTCCAATTAGATGTCACGTGTGTGGATGGATGTCCCACCAACGACAATGGTTGGGGTCGCGCTAAATCACGAATTGGTAGAAGTTAGAATTCACGAGCCATTGAATCGGGTCCCAGTGGCTGAATGGTATACGAGCTTGCCTTGTAACCGGAAGGTCCTGGGTTCGAAACCCAGTGGGTGCGTACTTTCGATGATTCCCAAACTAGGATGAAACAGCAGCTGTCCAGTACTCCCTGGTTTTCAATGGTTCTCTAACTGATATCAATCCGTGATCAACTCGTAAAATAATGATTTACTTTATTCCAAAAACAGTACTTGTGATACAGAATGGAATTTTCAGCATTAATAGCAATATTGCATCTAATTTCCTCAAATTATAAATAGAAATTAATCACACAGAAAATTTTCCACATTTACAATAGAGGTAGTGTCAAAAACATGCAGCATATAAAATGGAAATAGCAATAATAATGATAACAGCTAGGGTAATAATAATAAGAATACAAGTGAAAATTGACGTGGGCTTGTGTCACACAGTATTGGCAATGTGGTATAGAAATCCTAACATGTTTAAAAATATTGAATATAATGTTCTCTTTACATGATGATATAGTGAGGGGAAAAACAAAGATTACAGCCGTCATAGAGATAAGTTGGTGTCTGCAATTATGAGAGTAAAACAGAGAAGTAACCGGACCATAAATATAATAGAAGTAATAAAAGTAAAACTTAAAGGTATATAAGGATGGATGGAGGAAATTGTTTATTTACTAGATGAAAAAAGGTTAGTTAATTCTAGCCTGACACTATTTTCTCTATCACATAAAATACGTGCGAAGTATGATATCATAGAATTTCTATACTTAGACGTGGGAGCATACAGTTTTCTGAAGTTACTTCTTGTTCTACCTAAGGCGGAGATGCAAGGTGAAAGGAAGCTGAGGGTAAAGTGGATGCTCCAAGTCAGACAAAATCCCTTTAGCAAATTTATTGCACGAAGTCAAGTGCCTATCGACATCGACGTTAACTATGTGGTCCACTCGGACACCACTCACCCTACTGACAGTCTTCAGCATTCTACGAATTGTGACATACTCCTTTTTAAGCAAACCAGGAAAGAATAAGTAGTGGTGAGCAATAAAGAAGAATAGGTAGGATGCAAGAGTTTATGAACTGTAAGAGGAGGGGTTGAGTCATACCCGAGTGTCTTAACTTCTTAATGTAAAATGTCAGGCGGAATATTTTACTGGAGATTGCTAAGACATGGGAAGACCAGGAGAGATCAGAAGAGAGAATGAGTCCAAGATACTTAATTTCTGATTCGATTCCTATATCACTGTCGTCAATTTTACAACTGTCATGAGAATCGATGACTTCTTTTAACTGTCTTTTACATCTTAAGCTGAAATCAACAGTTTGACACTTAGAAAGATTCAGTTTAAGACCGTTAGACTCAGACCATTTGCTGACTTCCGATAGAAAGCTATTTATTTTAGTACTTATATATATATATATATATATATATATATATTTATATATATATTTACTGGCAACAACGTTTCGAGCACAATTTATTGATGCTCATCATCATCATCATCATATCAAGGCACTACTCACACACAACTTCTTAACTCCGTTTTTATAATTCCATTATTTTTCATCGCTTGACTTAATTGGTAGTATTAGTATTTTCCATATCTCCGGTATGAGTGATGATGACTCATTCCTATTGCACTTGTTGTGTTGGGTGTAGACTCGATGAACAAGGATTCAGTCAGTAGTCAATCTCTCTCTCTCTCTCCACTTATCTAGATTAATTTTTAGAATTTTAACCCTCTCCCACCCTGTGGACTTTTGGTACTAGGTGGTTGGATGTAATCGTCAGAATGCCTTGGAACTAGGTTTCGTGCTGGTTGGAACTCACCAGCGAGGCGTCTCTGCAACCTCGAAGGAACTCATGTCCAATGTGAGATCCGAACCCGCGTCACTCACTGACTACTTCAGTCAGTTACTTCAGTTACCACTGAGCTATTCAGACTCGCAATTGACCTCCTCTAGGACTGACTGCATTGGATATTTTGATTGAGCACTAGTCAGTAATTAGTGTAATGTGTCTAGTCCTGCATTACACTAGTGTTACTGACTATTGTCCAATCAAAAAATCTCTCCCACCATGCTACTGTGTGGTTGTGTGTTAATGGATGCAGTGCAATGTGGTGGTGAGTTATTTTTTCTAAATTACTTATCTTCGTGGGGTCGACCATTGTAACGTTAGCTAAATTCTTATGTTCCGACAATCTGACTATCCCCAGTCTACCAGTCTGACCTGTGTAGTTGACCCAACAAAGTCATTACAGGGTATTTTGTAAATTATATTATTTTTCCTAATTGGGTCAACTGACAGGGTCCTTTAACCTACCTAGAGAGCTAGTCCTACCTGAGTGAATGGCACATGGGGCCTCAGATGTCCCTTCCTTCCTTAAATGGTAAAACTACTGTAACCGCATGATACTCTTTCCTATTCATGTTAGTTACCATTATTACCCTCACCATTTTTTTTAAAATTTTGCTTTCAACCTTTTCTCATCTTCCTAATGAATTTCAGAGGATAGTTAGTTATTCGACACCAAAGCTTCTTCTATTTGTTTTATTTCATCAGTTAGGTGGGTTTTTTTTGTACCACTTAGTGCTACTGCTCGGCTTGTTAGACACTTAACTAAGCCCGTCTTCACAGACAGATAACGAACGGATGAGATGAATTAAAGTCTAAGTATCTATTAGAATGAGTTGGTTTTTGCTGTACACACCAGTGTGCAGTTTACCTTCTTCTGTTCGTTTTATTTTACAATCTAACATCACAGCTAATTCTCCTTGTTCATTTTCCGATTCAAATTTGAATTTTATTCCCTCCACTAGTGAGTTTGTGTGTGTGTGTGTGTCAGTGAAGAAGCTAGAGTGAGATATGTTCTGTATTCATTCATCACTCTGTGTACTGAAAGTATCACTCACATATCTCCTCCACCATAAAATTTGCAGTAGGATTAGGTGAATGTATTAAGAGCAATATTTTCCCAGCTGCTACTATGTTTATGTCATTAAAATATTTCAAAAATGCGATGAATAATCAAATTATAAGTAGGGTGGAGTGGAGATTAGTATGAGAGTAGTGGTAGTGGAAATTAGTTGTCATTGTCAATCAATGCAAAAGAGAAGTTGAATAAGCGTAGTACAGTTAGTTATGTAATAAGATGGATAGTTTAATGAGTGACTTGTGATTAAGGTGCACACATAAAAGTGAAACGAAAGAAAATATGGAATTATGTAAGCATTCTAAAATCTACAAATGTCATTGTTTTTTTTCCTTCACGTTCCGCCGTGGAACATAGGACTTCAAGCTAAAGGCTTGAAGTTTCTGTTACAGTATTTATTTTTACAGGGTGAGGTTGCTAGCCTCTTGACAAACCTTTCCTCCTTACCAGCTTTTATTTCCGGCTTATCAAGTTAAAGGAGTGCGTCTGTGGCCGGGAATCGAACCCGGATCATGTGCATGGTCGGAGAGCGTCCTGACCGCTGTGACACCGACGCACAAATGTCATTAGTAGTTAGAAAATAAAAAGAAAACAAGCACACAAACACCAAGTCATTGAAAGTCAACACGGTTGTTGGCATTATAGTAGAAGTGGTTGGATGACTTTCTCTTGCACACATAACTTTGGCTTTTCAACTTGATGGTTAGGGTTTCAGCAATACAAAGGGACGAAAGTGGATTGTCATTGGTGAGTTATCCTTCACTTTGTAGATCACTTTGAGACACGAGGTGTTTGTTGAGATGGAATGATCAGTGTTGACGAGATGTTCGATGATTGCACTCCTTATAAAGCGTCGGTCGCACAGTGGTTAGGACTCTCGCCGAACATGCACATGGTCCGAGGTTCCATCCTCTGCCGACGCACACCCAATATCTATGGTCGGCCTGCAAAATTCGGGCTACCGATATCCATGCTGAAAATTCTATATTTGTATCAAAAATACAGTGTGGAATCAAGCTGTAATCAAAAATTTAAAAAAATTAAAAAAATAAATTACCATTTTGTAGCCATGCTGTATGATAGTAGCCTTGAATCCTTTTAGAGAGGATACGCGTCGAACAACCAGTGTACTAAGGTGAACTGTTATATACACATATAAATGGTTGGATGAGAGATCTTGTCTTTAATGCTTCTGCAGATCAATGAGCAAGTGGAGAAAACTACTCGTATTGTTGCTACGAAGAATGTTCTTCTCAAAGACACTGAAATTCTTCTATTGAGACTATCAAAGGCTAAGTCCTGATTCATGTAAAGTATGATCGGTTGGAGGATTTCATCATGAGCTGACATCAGTTAGAGAACTATTGGAAAATCACCTGGGAGTACTGCGAGAAAGTTGTTTCGCCCTAATTTGGGACTCGTCATCAGTGCGCACCCATCGGGGTTCGAACCCAAGGCCTTCTGGTTTGCAAAGTGAGAGAGGTCATGGACCATTGAGCAGCCACTGACACACGATCCAATGGTCCATGAATTCGAACTTCATGTAAAGTATCTTTCTGTGGTATTTCGTTTCTCTGAACTTTTTATTCTGATATTCTTGTCGATAAATCTTGGTGGGTATATCCAGGCTATCAGGACTGCAGATGCATCAAACCCGAGGAATTTAATTAAATTTTGTTTCCGTTATTGTCGTTATTAAATGTCATAGTTTCATATTTCTTGTTAAATACTATCGCTTTGATTATCACTCTTTAGCATGCGTTTTCATTATTTTGTATCTTTTTTTAATAGGTCGAGTACAATCACTCGAATCGGGTATGGTAGCTAGATACAGGCCTCTTATAGCCAATTTAAACAACAACAACAACAGCAACAACGATACCACCAGCAATACTGCTACCACTAACACCACGGTAACGACAACGAATAAAAAGCGAGTTTCTGATACCGCAAACACTGCAAAAGGAAATTCTGCAACAATTAAAGACAGACTATTTTCACGTCAAGTTAATCAACGTGGCATAGATCAACAAACACAACAGCAACAACAAAATTTGTCTATAACAAAGAAAAGTGGGGCATCATTTTCATCATCAGTCAATGTAAACACGAGTAGGTTTTATTTTCTTGACTATGATTGCTCAAATGCTATTATTATTATTATTAATATATGTAAAATTTTATTATATTTAGTAAAATTCTGATAGTTCCTATATGTCAATTAGTATAATGCAATTTGTACATGCTTCTGACACCTTTTCGGTTCCATGGAAGCATGCAGTGACATATGAGGTGACATAAAAAATCACTTGATAATTATCATACTACCAATGGTATCTGTGTTGAAGAGTAAGCAGGTTAGATAAGGCAAATTTAGCATTTATTAGTGTGAAATATTTCCATGTCATGAATTAAAAGTCAATCTGAACGAAGAATATTCCTTTCTTACAGGATTTCATCATGAGCTGACATTAGTTAGAGAACCATTGGACATTAATTTGCTTTGCCACTTGACAATTAACTACCATTATAATCACAAACATCTTAGTTTTAATTGAACTTCATATTATTATTATTATTATTGTTTAATGCATTCACACCTAAGATTCAATTCACTCACCTGACATAACTTCTCAAAGGAAAGTCATCCAACCACTTCTACTATAATGTCAACAACCGTGTTGACTTCCAATGACTTGGTGTTTGTGTGCTTGTTTTCTTTTTATTTTCTAACTACTAATGACATTTGTGCGTCGGTGTCACAGCGGTCAGGACGCTCTCCGACCATGCACATATGTCTGAAGATTCCTTAGCAATCAGTGTTGAGCCAGAAAACTCACCCATTCACTAAATCCCAATAGATAGTAATATGTGTGTGAGGTCCGCCTGAATGGATCTGTTAGAGGAAGGAAGGGAAACGTTATCCGTCATTGTCTTTTCATAGTCTCCGCTTACGCCTCAAATGACAGCAGTTTAGTTTAAATGAACTAAAGGGATGATTTCTGCCTGAAACTGTCTAGTTTGCTATAAAAAGCAAAACGCTCAGGTTTAGTTGTTTTAGCAGGCAACTACAGTGTCCAAGGTAGACAGTTATGCCAGACTGAGAAGTATATCGGTGGTGGTATCAGTCAATCAGTCAGTCAGTCCACTTGAGGGCCTGAACTTACCTCGCCTTACCTGCTTTATTACTAGCTAGTCGTAACCCTAGAAAAAAATTTGGAAGTTATGATGTCAGACTAGGGACCCTACACCCCAAAGAACACAAAAATATAAACCTACTTACCCGTACATATCACATTTATGGATACATGAAAAATGAATCTTTGCCTTGTGTTCATTCCTTCTTGTATCTCTACATATCTCGTCTGCTTCCCACACTCTAATAATTCCCATTGTAACATTAGGAAGACAATATATTCAGCGAAAGGACTCTTTTCAACAATGAATTTATTATCAAGCTGTATAGTCGTATATATATATATATATATATATATATATATATACGACTATACAGCTTGATAATAAATTCATTGTGAGATATATGCAGGTCGTTCGATGTGTGTGTGTGTGTTTTACCTAAACGAGTCGAAGAACATTATCCCACTTGGCTAAACAAAGGTCACTATGGATGCTATAAATGAAGAGATATTAAACACTGGTAATTCAATATGCAAAGGAATTCATTCAATGAAATTTTCAGCATGTATTAGTGCAGTATTCCATCTAATTTTCTTATTAGATGGGCAATAATTAAAATGGGACGTTTACATAAATAATAATTTACACTTATAATATTATCCAATAAGAAATGAATATAAAATTTAATCAAGTGAGAATATTGACGATAATGCGATAATGAAAAAAAAGACAGAACAGTGTCGTCTACTTAGAGTACCTCTGTAAGTTGGCAATTTCCTGTCTTACACTTTTCTCACCACATAAAATGTGATCCGACCGGCTGAATAAGGTATTGTAGAGTTTTTATGCTTAGTCGTCCGAGCAGTAAGTCTTCTATAATAGCTTCTAGTTCCCCTATGTGATGAGATAGACGAAAGGAGAGAGTTGTGTGTGTGGAGAGGATGTTCAGAGTCTGACATCGAATAATAATGGCTAAATTTTTGCAGGAATTCAAATGTCTATCTACAATAGTATTAACAAGTTGGTTTAATAACAATCCCAGTCAGTCTCCCTACTGACAGCTTTTAATGCCTGCCCTTAGCAGTGTAACTAAGTCTTTTGAAAGTAGCCCGGGGACGGTTAAGGGCGCGGGCGCAGTACAGAATTATGGGCAGAATTCAAGAATCAATAAACGGTAACACTAGAGACCGAATGATACCAAATTGTCTTAACTTTCTCACATTGAACGTCAAACAAAATATCTCTCTGGAAACTAACATGGTGTGGAAAGACGAGGAAAGGTGATGAGATGAAATACACACCTCAGAGTATTCAACATTCTGTTCTGTTTCGAATTCACTACCATCTGTGATAGTGGAACCGTGCTAACTAACCAGTTCATGTATGTCACTCTTGCATCTGAAAGTGAAATTAACCACCTGACATTTTTGAAGGGATTACGCTAAAGTCATTTGACGAGGACCACTGACTTATTTCCGATAAGAAGGTATTCATGTTGAAGAGTTTGCCTGAGAAATCACCGCTGGCATAGAAACAGTCAGATGGATCATCGGCATACTTAACAAAATTGTTTTCATCAGAATGAGGTGAGTCATATAAGAAAAAGAAAGAAAATAGAGAAGGAGAAAGAAAGAACCGCATCTTGAATTAACAACACCAACTAGAGTAAGTGAAGGAGGCAGTGAAGGACTTTCCACTGCAAAACAGTGTGCTACTTCCTATCAGAAAGATAGAAATGCGACCAGTGATACAGCTAAGTAAGTGAATGAATTCTCTGAAATGAGACTCTTCACTGAAATCTTTGTTCATGTCTGGATGGGCGGTTTTCGTGAACTTTCTGTTTGTCTATCTCTCTATCTGCCTGAATTTTCTTACTAATCTATCTCACAACAGGTTATCGACGTTGCTTTAATGAAATACATTCATATAAACATTTGGAGTGTGTCAATACTTTTCAACTGTTGATTTTTATAGGATTTCTTCATGAGCTGACATTGGTTAGAGCATCATTGGAAAACCTGCGGGGAGTACTGTACAACTGTTTAATTCTAGTTTATTTATTGCATTCTTGTAAATAAGGTATACCTAATACGCGAAATGATGAATATTTCACCAGAGAGACAGGGAGAGACAGAGGGACGGAGAGGACAGAACAATAACAATAATAATAATAACCAGGCTAACTGTTCTAATTTTTATCACCATACACATTATAACTCAGCAAGTACAATGAAGAGAAACAAAATACTGACAATACAGACAAAATAACAACAACAACAACAACAACAAAAAGGTTTACCTAAGGAGAAACGAGAAAAATTCTTTTCAACCGATCAATATCTGTTTAAATGCAGATCTTGTCAATATAACAGTTCGTATGTATATAATCCTGTACACTAGAGTTTGATTGGTTTCAGTTTCGGGGGAAGGAAAACAAAATATGCCTCTTAAACTAGGAATTTTGGACGGAAAACTTTAAAAAATAAATAAATGAATAAATATACATATATAATTGCTAACTGAATAACTAACTAACTAGTAAATAAGTGGTATCGCTCATTATAATAAGGGTTTTATGCATTTGCCAGTGAATGAATGAAAAAGAGCAAGACGATATTGGTGTCGTTGGTTTTACTAACTGACGACGTTACGCTATTTAATGCTGCCGCCGCCGCCGCCGCCGCCAATAGCTTTATCATCAAAGGAGTAATATTAAACCAGAAGAATTTACAAAATCCACTCAGCTTACATATATACACACAGCAACTTAATCGTCGTTCATGAGCATGGGATCATTTTTATGGTGTTGTCAAGTTGACCAATTCATAAAGATAAAAATCAGGTGTACATTTTTAGATTTGATAAGTATATAAAATTGTAGAAGCAGCGTGTCTTCCTTCACATAATGAAATAGCTTATCAAATTCGTGTTGATTTTGTCATTTTGCAAGGGAGGAGGGTGTTGTAATCAGGTCAACTTCTGTTTTGGTTCATTATTCCTATTAAGACAATTTGGATTCAGTTTAATGGGGAATGCTTCTGATGATATTCGACGTTCTTTGTGATTTCTGAAATGCTTTGTCAAAATCAATTTTCTGGCTTAATTCTATAGCGTAGCGTGTAGACGACCTAAGGCTGATGATTTTTCAAACTTTTCTAGTTTAAATATTCCATTTGGTCATCTAGCGGTGAGTAAATATTTAATATCCAATTATGTTAGTATAAAAGTAGGAGAGGACTAGAGGAATTGATGTCTTACTTTCATTCATTTGAAAGACAACTTCACAGTGTAACAGTCCGTTTCACCGGCTACTCCCTCCCTTTTTCTCGAGTTATTACTATCACCTTACGTTCCACGTGGAATATAGGGTTTCAACGTCACTTCTTTAGTCTATCCTGTCCTCTACAGACCGCTTTAGCTGCCTCCACATTTGACTATCAGCCGTTGTCTATTCCAAGTCACGCCCAACTAGTCGTTTTCCACATCGGCCTCACTCGAGTAATGTCATTCAGTGGTCTCCCCGGCTTGTACGATTCAATTCCATTTCCTCTGGCGTATTTATTGGACAAAAGGTTCTTGGTTCGTTCAATGACTAGAACCGATCATTTGATCTTCAATATAAAGTCAGTGAAGGCAGTTGATGATGAAAGTCTGAAGCAGCCTTTCAGCATGCTTTTCGGCATGAGCGCGTCAAATTTATGACACATATAGAAGCAATTATTGATTCAATATCGGTGTTGAAAATCTAAATTCTGTTCTATACGCAGTGAAGTGCAGACGATTTGAACAAAATCTATTGTTCATAATCATATCGACGGTAATCACACGACTTCGAAACTTCAATTTTATAGTTTTCTTTGTTTTCTCCTATTTGTCGTCGTTGGGGTAGTAGAATTTTCCAAATGTCCAACTGGGCAGGTGTTGAATCATTCCTATTGCAAGTGTTGATTCGCAGTTGATCGATAAACAAAGCTTCTGTTGTCATCAGTCTCTCCCTCCACATTGCGCTTACATTAGATTTTAAAACTGTCATCCTATCGCATCCTATTGTGTGGTTGTGTTTAACTGCATATAGGTGAACTATTTTCTAGATTTCTTATCTTATTTGGGTCAACCAATCTAGATTTAGCTAGGTTTTTATGTTCGGCTAGTCTGACTGTCCCTGTTCTACTACTCTGACCTATGTATTTGACCTGATAATCACTGCAGGCAGAGTATTAGATAAACTAAATTGTTCTGTTTTAAAGGCTCCACAGGATTGATCCTTTAACCGACAAAGCTTGTTACTAATTGAGTTTATGTGTGGTTTGAATGCCAAGTTCAAATCAACTGCAAATACATATAATAGGAATGATTCAACATCTGTTCCAGATATCTGGAGAAGTCTACTACCCCAACGACAAAAAATAGGAGAGAACAAAGAAAACTATGAGACTCAAGTCTAGAAATCGTGTGATTATAATTAATGGAATGATTATGAACAATAAATTTTGTTCGAAACGTCATCCAGTAAATAAAACTGTTTCACTGTGTGATACATCTAATAAACAAACTAATATGGAATTGCATGGAGGATTTAATCATGAGCTGACATCAGTTAGAGAACCACTGGAAAACCTGGGAGTACTGGACAGCCGTTTCGTCCTAGTTTGGGACTCCTCAGCAGTACGCACCCACCGGGACTCGAACCCAGGAATTCACTTTTAACCGTTTGAAAAATGTAGGCATCGGGTATATTGATTTATTCATTATTGTAAAAGTTCTTTTAGTATTTACCAATGAATGAAAAAGAGCAAGACGATATTGGTGTCGTTGGTTTTACTGACTGACGACGTTACGCTATTTAATGCTGCTGCTGCTGCCGCCGCCACCGCCGCCGCCAATAGCTTTATCATCAAAGGAGTAATATTGAACCAGAAGAATTTACAAAATCCACTCAGCTTACATATATACACACAGCAACTTAATCGTCGTTCCTCAGCATAGGATGATTTTAGCGTTGTCAAGTTTACCAATTGGTAAAGATAACAAGACCAAGTATGTGTAGATGACTGTTGGATTCGACAAGTGTATGAAACTATACAAAAACAGTATGTATTTACATAATGAAACTGCTTATCACATTCGTGTTGATTTTGTCATTTCATGGGGGTTCAGGCGGGGATGTTGTAACTAGTTCAAATTCTGTTTTAGTCCATCATTCCTATTCAGTTCAGACAATTTGGATTCCATCCGTTTGATGATGTGGAGTGCTTCCGATGATATTAGACGTTCTTTGTGATTTATGAAATGCTTTTTCTGGATGATGATTTCAATATACTGTAAAAATCAATTTTGTGACCTGATTCTATAGTGTAGCGTGTAGACGACCTATGGCTGATGATTTTTCAAGCTTTTCTAGTTCATTAACTGGATTTATCTCTCGATGGTGTCGAACTGATGCTCTACGGTGTTCATTTCTTCTGATTTTGTGTTTCTGGCGATGTTTAATAATACTACTTTAATGAAACTATTAGCAGCAACATTAAATAGCCAAACGTCAGTAAGAACGACAATAATGTTTTTTCAACAATAATGTTTGTTTTTTCATTCATTCACTGGGAAATACAAAAAAAACGCCTCTATTATAATGAGTATCATATACCACTACCAAATGCCCAAATTTTTTTCAAACTGTGTTAAAAGTGAACGCTGATAGATACTATAGTCTAGTGACCTTAAAGTGACCAAACAAATCGCTCATTCCTACAAGTGATTCACTTATCGTTAGTTGCAATCAGTTTCACCCTGATTTGGAGTTAGCGTCAGGGTGAAACTTGCTCCAATGATTATGAGTAGCGTTCATTTGAAATGCTGACCAATGTGACCATCATTATTATTATTATTGTATCCTTTAGTTCCTAGAGGAACATAGGGCTTCAGCTGCGCACCTCCATTGCCTTCGGTTTTCTGACAACTTTTTCACCCTGCTCCAGGTATGTCCACATGCTTTCATCTCCTCCTCGCATGACCTCCTCCAAGTCACCCTTGGACGACCAACTCGCCACCCGCTTCCCTTTCGGGTTCCACTCGAGGGCTTGTCTAGTGATGTCACTTGATGGTTTCCTCAGCGTATGGCCAATCCATCTCCATTTCTTTCTGCCTATTTGTTTCACAATCGGTTCCTGATTGGTTCGCTCCCAGAGATCCCTGTTGCTGATCTTTTCTGGCCATCTGATCTTGAGTATTGAGCGGAGACAGCTGTTAATGAAGGTTTGAAGTTTGTTTGAGATGCTCTTTATGACTCGCCAAGTCTCTGATCCGTATAGTAGCACTATGTGACCATCATTATTAGCTTATAATTACTATCATTCATCAGAATTAGTGGATCCCATAACTGACATTCACGCATGTAGTGGTTTATTTATTATCACCACTCTTATGGGAAAGTGAGACCCTTTTTTGCAGCATCTTAGAGACATATAGCGTATATAATTCACATTTTTGTCATACCTGTTATATCCAATACACACACTGTTTTATACTGTAAATGTCGCTTTTTGCCTCGAAGCATATATGTATGATTGGCTTGTTGGTGTTTTGACTGTGAAATCGATTCTTTCGCTGAGATGAGTATTTCTCTAAAATCACCACATATTTTTGGGATGTTTATCGAATCACACAGTAGAATGTTTTTAGTATAAGCCTTTTATTACATAAGTGGACTTTATTCATTCAATAGTAGCATATTGGCCAACCACTCTATAGATTCGAATTTGTTCCCAGGCCTGTTAACTCCTTGGCAAAGTTAAAGAATTGCGACCACCGTTACTGAACCTTCATAAGGCTTTAGTAGGCTAATGTTCCACTCGGAACACCTTTTATTATCATATAATAATGGTAAATTTTTCATGTTTTAGCGATTTCAGCTTATGAATCCGGCATCATTTCAATCCTGTTTAGCTCTCTCTCTCTCTCTCTCCTCTTTACTTTTTCTTGTTCGTATTCAGAATCTGGTTCCTTTGAGTGGATATCATATCTTAAAGAAGTTGACGCAGAACCTGTTCAGTCTTCTCTGTTTTTCCATGTTCCCTTTGAAGTCCAGGTATGTGGATATTATGTATACATATGAGACTCTTCATATGTATTCTCATTGTCATTTTTTGCTTACGGTGCCAGGTGTAGTAAAACTTTAAAAAATGAAGGAGTGAGATGCATCAATGTTTATTAACTTTTCAATTAGATCGTCATCTCACTCTGACTGTACTCTCAAAAATATTATATATAGCATTTCTATTAAAATACACAATAATTTACCAATCAACAAGGCATTGATATGTTCGTTAACAGTCATTAGTCAGTATCAACATGTTAGCGAGGGGTAAGAGTGAGAATTAACGAAGAAAATTAGTACACGCAGTTGCAGCATAGAAATGATTACCACAAACTGATTGGATACTGCTTAATTTAGGTAAAAGCAAAGAGTAACTGGGGAATAAGCAAGTGTTCAGGCCGATTACGTAACATGTAATTAAACAAAAACAAAATACTTATGAGTTAATTTCCATCACTTTCATTGGTTACAGGATTTTATCATAAACTGACATCGATTACAGAACCATTGGAAAACCACCTGCCTGCACTACCCGAGTTTGGGACTGTTCATAAGTACGCACCAACCGAGACCTCCTGGTTACAATGGGGGCAAGGGAGCTCGTGGACTATAAGACCACTGGGACCTGGTCCAGTAGTTCATGAATTCCGTTTAGAAAACCAGATCGTTCCAGTGTCAGATTACACTGGCCGTCGATAAAGGTGAAGCCTTGGCGGCATACATGTCCCAGTCGTCTCAATCGATTTAACTGCTTCACAACCTCATCGATTGACTTTCCCTCCTCCTCCTCCTCCTCCTTACCTAACACTCGACTGATGCCTAACCTCAATGTTACTTACCGTATTATATCACTTAATACGGGAGATAGAACGCAGTCACCTATGATGAAAGACAGCTAGCTAACAAAGCTTTTCATGTGCTGCACACGTCTAACAGCCAGCGAATTAGCCATGTAGGAGGACGGAGCGATTTACTGCTGAGCAGTATGTACGTTATTTAATCGATTAACAGCCGGATATCACGTCTACTAAGCCAGAGATGAGGATATAAGTTGTATCCATTCTGAGATTTTGTTAGCTATGGACCAGTTGGCTCTAGTGCAACTTCCTATATGTAAGTGAAATGGTCAACTCACTCTACCACTTCACTTGCTATCTTCAGCCTAGGAGTAATCGATGTGGCCCAATCACTCCTGTAGAATTAACTTACATTTAACAACAGAGAGACGAATCGCATGCCAAACATTCAACAAGGGAATGCAAACTTTTTCTTTGACTGAGCCTTGTTTTCATCTCGACATGTATTGTTAATACGTGAATGAGTTACCATGCATTGGCCTATGTTACTGTGCCTTCTTTTGTTGTCTAAATCGATGTCTAATGAATACATAATCTATTTTTTTTTATTAGTATCTACCATTTCCGTTAACACCTTTACTCATTTCTGTTACTATCAAAATTAGATTCCATCCCCATCAATTGTTCCAGCACAACATGCAATCCCTAATGGAAATTTTGAACCTGGTCAGTATTTAGAAGGTATTGATCCACACAATGAAAGTTTGATTTGTGTTCTGTGCATTGCAGAATTGGTGGGCAGACGTGTTAAACTACATTTTGTTGGTTATCCAGAGAAATATGATTTTTGGACAACAATCGATTCGCCATTCTTATTCCCTGTTGGTTGGTGTGCTCATAACAGTCGTCAACTTCAACCGCCTAAGGAATATCTCGATGCACCGACATATCATCCATTCAATTGGACAAGTTATTTAGCTAAACTTGGAGGCAAACCAGTACCTCGTCATTTGTTCAGAGTATCATGGGATTCTGTAAGTGGTTATAATATCAATATCAATATATATATATGTATATAATGTTATATTATATTATTATATCCTTTAATTCCTAGAGGAACGTAGGGCTTCAGCTGCGCGTCTCCATTGTCTTCTGTTTTCTGCCAACATTTTCACCCTACTCCAAGTCTGCACACATGCTTTCATCTCCTCTTCACATGACCTCCTCCACTCCAAGTCACCCTCACTCACACTGAAAACGACCAACTCGCCGCCCGCTTCCGTTTCGGGTTCCACTCCAGAAATGGCTTGTCTAGTGATGTCACCCACTTGCTGGTATCCTCAGCGTATGGCCAATCCATCTCCATTTCTTCCTGCCTATTTGTTTCACAATCGATTCCTGCTGTGTTGGTTTGCGCATCGCCAGATATCCCACCCTGTTGGTGATCTCTTCTGGCCGGCCGGCCGGCCATCTGATCTTCAGTGGTACTGAGCGAAGAAGATAACTGTTAATGAAGGTCTTTAGTTTGTTTGAGATGCTCTTTGTGACGCACTGGCCAAGTCTCTGATCCGTATAGTGTGTCGCACTGACTGACTTCACATTGGAGTTGAAAATCCGGATCTTATTTTCGATGCTGAATGCTGTTGACTTCCACACAGACTTGAGAGTAATGAAAGCTTGTCTTGTTTTCCATATCTTCACTGCTTTGATATCCTCGTCAGTTCCATCGGCCTGTAGTTGAGACGATGCTTCCCAGGTAGGTGGGTAGGTAAAGGAGGTTGTTTCTTTCAGGTTCCTCCCATTTATGCTGGCTGATTGTCGTCTGTTGTTGTTGTTGTTGTTGTTCAGGAATCTTCATCACCACATCCGTTTTCTCTAATGTACACCTGAAGCCCTTCCTATCTTTGATACTTCTTATGCCAGCTTGTTGCTTTTCACTTGCATATCTCCCAGTTTGTGGGAAATCAGGCATATATCATCGCGGGTGAAGTCCAGATCCTCCAAGTACTTTTTTGTGTGAGTCCATTTTATGCCTGTTTCTTAATTGCCCGTTGTCTGTCGCATTATCCAATCTACTGCAATCAGGAAGATCATTGGCGATAGCAGGCAGCCTTGCCTCACTCCCGTCCTGACTTCGAAGGCTTCAGTAAGTTTGCCGTTGTGGATTACTTGGCATGCAGCAATGTCGTATAACTATTGGATGAGATGTATAATTTTCGATGTCCCCACTTTGGTAGTAGCGAAGTAGTTGCCAAATCACCTCTCGATCGACGCTGTCGAAGGCACTTTCAAAGTCGATGAAGTTGGGATAGATAGAGAGGTGACTGCCATTCCAAGCTTTGTTCAATGATGATCCGTAGAGTGGCGATTTGATCAATACATGACTTGTTTCTCCTGAATCCAGCTTGTTCCGGTCGAAGTTGTATATATATATATATATATATATATATATATATATATATATATATATATATAAGGCTTGGGCACTGTAGTGGTAGTATGTATTTCCATAATAATTTGTTTATTAGATAGATATATCACACACACACACAGTGAAATAGTATTACTGATTACTAGATGACACAGTTTCGAACACAATTCATTTTTTTTCATAATCATATCATTGATCATAACCTACACAACTTCGAAACTTCCTTTATTCTTTCCTATTTGTCCAACAAAAGTACCACTAGAACACATAATCCGAGGAGTGTAGCTTTGCCTTACTTCTATAGTATTTAAATTTCAGGGGAAAAATACACAAACAAACTGAGAGAATTGCCATGTGGTCACCAATATCCACGGTTGTCGTAGATATATTCATGGATATGTGGGAACAGTAAGCGATTGAAATGTTCAGGCCCACCCACCTCAAAAGTATCGTGAAGGTATGTGAAGATGACACATTCGCCTCAGATAGAACACAGAACATAAACAGATTTTTTGAACACATCAACTCGAAGGTAGGGGTAATTCAATTCACTTATGAATTTGAAAGTCAGAATGAAGAGCTTCCAGAGTTAGATTTTAGAGTAAAAAGGAAAGAAGATGGGAAGTTAAACACTAGTGTTCACTGGAAACCCACACATTCCAACAGATATTTAGATTTCGGATCATCCCATTCTATGTCATTAAAAATAGCCTTGTTGAAATGTTTATGTGACAATAGGGCACAAAACCTCAGTAGTGCCGAGGAAAATCTAAGACGGGAAGCGTGAAGCATTTAAGAGAAGTTTTGAAGCTTAATTAATAATTATCCTGATGAATTAATCAGGAAGTATGTGGGAAAATGTAAAAATATAATTAATTATAGCGATAGTAACGCGGATGGTAATAATAATAATAATAATAGGGGTTAAAGGCATGAAGAACATACACACACACACACACAGATTGATGACAAAACCAGCAACAGGGAATGTAAATCATTAGTGTTGCCTGCTTCCACACAAAGAAGGAACCTCGGAAATCTGATGGCGGAGAGTTCTTAACAATTCAGGAAGGAATGACAGTGGCTGACATTCAAATCATCCACAAACGGAATTAGAAACAAGCTTTTTTGGTTGGAGGAGCCTGCCTATGGAGTCAATGATAAAAAAAAACAATTTAGTTTATCTAATGTGCTGCTGTAATAATTGTTTGTCGGGTGAAATAACGCCTAGGTGAAAGTAGTAGAACGCGGTCAGTTAGTCAGACTAACGGAACAGCATAAAAGCTTAGCTAAATGTAGATTAGTGGACCGGAATAATTCAGGTATACCGTTCAGTAATAATAATAATAATCTACTTCATTCCAAAAACAGTACTTATAATACAGAATGGAATTCTCAGCATTTGTCACAATATTGCATCTCATTTACTCAAAATGTGAATTAAATTAAAACAAAATTAACCAGAGGAACTTGTCCACATGTACCGTATAAAATCAAAAATATTCAAAGTACAAATAAGAATAATAAATATGATAATAATAATAGTATAGTCGATTGAATTAGGAAATTTAAGTGTGTTATAGAAGATTGGATCTTATGTTCTGTTGATATAGCAGCATGGTGAGGGGAAGGACTCATATGAGAAAATAAACAAATAAAAACAAAAAATTGACAGGAGTATAAATATAAGAAGAACAATAACAATGGAGCTTGATGTTATAATGGTGGAGAAAATGGTTTATTTACTAGTGCAAAGAAGGTAACTTAGTTCATGACTGACAATATTTTCATCACATAAAATACGTGTCGCCAAATATGGTATCGTGGAATTTCTATACTTAGACGTACGTGCATACAGTCTATTGAAATGACTTCTTGTTTTACCTGAGGAGAGACAAGGTGAAAGCTGTGGGTGAACCGTAAAGAAGAATAGGTAAGATGCACGAGTTGACAAATTGTAAGCGGAGGAGTTGAGTTATGCCTGAGTGGCTTAACTTCTTAATGTAAAAATTCAGACGAAATATTCTTTTAGAAATCGCTAAGACATGGAAAGACCAGGATGGATCAGAAGAAAGAATTAATCCAAGATACTTAACGTCAGACTGGATTTCTATATAACTATCATCAGTTTTGCAACGGTCATAGAAATTAGCAGCTTCATCACTTAACTTTCTTTTATATCGGAAACTGAAATTAGCAGTCGGACATTGGGAAAGATTTAGTTTACGACCATTAGACAAAGACCAACTGCTCACTCCTGGTAGAAAGCTGTTCATCTTAGTACAGTCTAGCTGGGAGTTGGCAGCCAATGAAACAATTAGATCGTCCAAATGCTTTACAAAGTTCATTTCATGCAAGAAGAAAGAAAACAGAAAAGGAGAAAGAACAGCGCCTTGAGGAACACCAGCCTCAGTAAGCAATGAAGTGAACGACTTTTCCCTGATATACAGTGTAATGCTTTCTTCCTGAGAAATAAGAATGCAGCCATTTGACTATCAACACTCGGTTCGAATTTCCACTAGCTTATTTAACAAAATACCCGTAGGTACTAAGTCGAAAGCAGATGTATAGTCTAGGAAGGTGCAGGGAACAAATTTACCCCCTTGTCTAAATTGGAGACAATGTTATGATGCATCTAAAGTACTTCTAGTGTGTTTATAGGCGAATTGTTTGAGATCGTTAAAGACTTTAAGGGAAGGTTCAAGATTAAGTAAGAGCGACTTTTCCATAGGTTTTAGAAAAGGAGAGGTAATAGCAATAGGTCTAAATTTAATACATGTTCCAGTAGATGAATTAGGCATGGCATTTCTGGAAAAAGATTGATGAAATATGTCAAAGAGAGGATAACATAGGATATCTGCACATTTTTTAAGTATAATGCTCGGCAAACAATCTGGTCCTAGGCTACAAGAAGGGTTCAGCAACTGGAGACATTTTATAACATCATTTGTACTGAAACCAAGGTAGCAGGTTTCATTAACACCTGTGACACTAGAGAATATGGCATTTGTGGGAGAATATATGGAAGACTTATTTAGAGGTACACACGCCAAATGAACAAAAAACACTGTTTATCTGCTCACAACCAGTAATTTCTTTGAAAAGTTTCCATATATTAGACGCGTTTTTACAGCATATAAACTTCTAGTTATAAAGTGATTTCACACTCTGCATTTCAGATTTGATTAGGATGTTAATTCTTTTCCCTGCCAAGCTTTTTAAATTGAGGTGAGTAGAAACGTTCGAATCTGATGAAGAGTGTTTCTCTGGGACAACAGGCGTCAAGACAAAATTTCGGATACCATGTATTATTTGAGATAGTGTCATTAAGAGATTTTTCATAAGGCAAGTCCCATCTTTTGTCTTTGAGCACGCTCCTAAGATTCTGGACATTCTTCTTAGAGTAACATCCATGTACAATTTTCTCGGAGAGGTGTGAAAAGATTTTCTTGTGTAACTTTCCATAAATTTTGGGTAAAACCTGCACAATACAATGATCAGAGTTAAACAGTGGGGTTCTTTCACGAGCTTCATATATTCCGGAGTCATTGATAAATACAGGATCAAGTGAAGTATTCAGTCGGGTGGAAAAGTTGACGAAATTTTCATGACCCAGCACTATAAGAAAACTGTAGTCACAAAAATTAAAATCTGTCACTATGATCACTGAGTTTACCAAATGCGGTGGCAGCGAAATCAGTGAATAGATCAGAAAACATGAATCCAGCTTGTTCAGGCAGTCTCGCGTAGTTCTGCATCCACAGCGTCTATTAGTTTATCTAGGTGGATATAACTTTAATATTTTTCTTGACGTGGACAGAAGTGTGATACCGCATCAGTTCTCGATTTGGCCTAAGTCACCTTTTCTTTAATAGTTTGACAAGGTAGCCTTTTTTCCAACCAGTAGGTACCTTTTCTTCCTTCCAAACTTTTTACACTGGTGGCTTCAGCATATCTGCTGCAGTCCCTGGATCGGTTTTTCAGTGCCACAGGAGGAATGATATCCGATCCAGTGTATTCTATACCAAAGCATCGTAAGAGTGAACAGTCTTGTCGTTGTTAGGTTGGTGACAAGGCCAGTGATAACTGTTCAATCAAAGATAAAATGCAGTGATCAGAACTCATGATATCGAAAAATCAAAATTTGGTATGATCGAAGTGAGATGAAAAGAGATAATGATGTAACACAGTGAATAGAATTCAAAGGATCAAAAATTGGGTCTAATATGTTTCATATTTTATGCTGTACTTTGCGTCCAATAGGAATGCCAAGCTGAAGCGCTGGTTATTGTCTTTATATCGAGAGGTGGACGCGGTCATAGTAGGTTTTTATATCTTGTTCCAACGTCGGGCAATTTTCTGACGTCTGACAAGTTAGCTGTAGGTAGCTTGGGTATCGATGTTTCATATGCAGTCTGTGGCCTTCTCCTCCCCCCCCCTCCCCCGCATCACAGTACCTGAGAAAATGAAGCGCAACCAAGACCACAATAGGAATGTTTAGCAGATAAGAACTGGTTATAATACTTTGATGATGGTGAAATTTAGTGTCCAACGTCAACTCTGTTATCTCTAAATCGTTTTTCCTCTCGGTTCTCTATCTTTCTCACATATATATATATATATATAAGTGTAGCAGTTATCTTTTTGGAAATATATTCCTCTTCAATTTTCAATTATTTTTTTGCATATCATAGGAGTTTTTTGTCCTTTGTATTAAGATATAAACGTACACACTGGGGCTCAAATCCAGGACCTTGCTTTTACAAGGCGAGATGGTAGACCATGAAGCCACTGAGACCCAATCCAATTCACTGATCAGCCGGCTCATGAATTCCAACTTCTACCAGTTCACGCCCGATACAGGACGACTGGCACTAGCCGATTTCGTTATTGGTGGATGTTTCTCCTCATCTACGACCTGTTGTACCCTGCTGGTCATGACTTTTCACTGAGACCCAGGTAACTGCTTACCTGAATAAGGTCAGTCACTAGAGAACATCAGATTGACACTCAAGTGTTGGTTTTCAGGGATTTGATTGGTTTCAGGATTTCAATATGAACTGACATCGGTTGCCTAGAGAACCATTGGAAAACCACCTGGGATTACTGCCCGACAGTTGTCTATTCTGTCCCAATTTGCGACTGTTCAGAAGTGCGCGTCCATTGGGGTTCGAACCCAGAACCTTCCGGTTACAAGCCGAACACGTTGACCATTCATCCACAAGGACTCGGTCGGTGGGATACAGAAGATCGGGTTTGAGGCAATTCCTCACAACTGATGACAGTGGCCACTGCCAGTCGCGCTATATCGTGAGTGAATTGGCAGAAATTGGAATTCATGAACTGGCTGGTCATTGTATTGGATCAGATCTCAGTGGCTTCATAGTCTACGAGCTTGGTCGCCTTGTAACCAGAAGGTCTTTGGTTTAGACTCCAGTGGGATGGGTGGGTACCTCTGAAGAGTCACAAACTAGGACAACACAGACAACTCTCTGGCAGTACTCCCAGATGGTTTTCCAATGGTTCTCTAGGCAACCGGTGTCAGCTCATGATGAGACCTTGTAATCAATCAAATCCCTGAAAACCAACACTTGGAAAAAATAGCGTATTGACTGAATAGTAAGTATTCCAGCGAAAAGCATTGAATTTAAATCTCCTTCTTGAGGTTTTTATTCTTTCCTCTTTCATATGCATACACGCCTATTTACTAATTTTGTTCTCAAATTTTTATAGCCTATTGATGAGTCACCGTCTCATATGTTTGCCGTTGGATTGAAACTGGAGGCCATAGATAAACGAAATCCCGCCATGGCTTGTGTAGCTACAATCAAAGATTGTATTGGAGATTATGTTCTTATACATTTCGATGGCTGGGATTCAGGTTTTGATCAATGGGCTCATGTATCCTCTGAACGTTTACGTCCTGTTGGTTACTGTGAAAATCATGACCAAGTTTTATCGATACCCAGTGGTAAGTACTTTTCAAAGTGTGTTGTGTGTTTTAATCCATCTGGGAAAAAGGATAGTAGGAAACCAAAACGATGAGAGTGACGTGGATAGAGGAGTATGATGTTCAGGAGGGTTTCGTTTCCTTTCGGAAACGTGTGGGTGGTTGTTACTTCCCGGCTGCCCACACAACCGTGAAAGTTGTTTTTTTTCTTGAGGTAACCGAAACAGAAAGAGTATTAGTGGTGTTGCGTGACCGCAGAGCCCAGGGGAGAACTGCTTGAGGCCGGTCACACTGTCTGTCTGAACTGGCTTTTGGTTTGGTTCCGTATTAGTAAATTTACTGCCGGTTGCGGACCACCGTAGGGTAAGTCGGGATGTACAATTTTTTGGGTCGACCCTTTCTAACCCCTTCTCCCTGGAGTGGAAAGACAGCATAGGTAGCTGCCATTCTGATCATCTTAGGGAAACACCTTACTGTTGTTACATCCCTATTCCCCAGCAGTACGATATCATCCACAGACCCCTATCACAGTGTAAAAAAATCTTACGCTATGCCGTTAACTGCTTTTAGTCTAATCGCTATAGTAACAATCTTCGTGGCACGGTAGGACCTACAAGAACAAAAGTTCCAGGTAATGTAGCTTGTAGGATCACTATACATATATATATGATGTAGTACATATTACTGCAATTGCATCAGTGATACAGTGGTAGAATGTTCAGTTACCACATCTCTGGTTCGGGATTCGATCCCCGGCCACCGACACACTCCCAAACCTTGCTAAGCCCGTAATAAGACTGATAAAGAGGGAAAGTTGGACATGATGTTATCAACAAATCCACTCCGTTCAAAAACTAAACACCACTACTACGGAAACTTCGAAAAGCTGCAGCTTGTAGTCCTAAATGTTCCACTAAAAAAGCAAAGTAAGTGTAGAACTTGAGCACTGTGGTAGAATGTGTATTTCCATTTTGTATAAGTTTATTTTCAATATCACACACACGCTCACAAAGATGATGATAATAATGATGATGATTCAGTATTAACAACTGGATGACAGACAGATAAGCTGTCCATCATAAATTATTGACACTCATAATCACATCAATCAATTGTGGTCGCACACGGTTTCACCATTTGTCTTAAACGTATATTTTCTCTCTCTCTCTCTATTCTGTCTCTGATAACAACTCCCACCGGCGTGTTGTTTGTTGCCAGTTTCCATATCTCCGGTAAAGGCGGTGGCGTTGTGTTGCGTTGCGTTGCATCATTCCGATTGGTGCAGGTATTCGGTGTTGAATCAATAAACAAAGCTTCAGTGATTACCCTCTCTCTCTCTGTCTCTCGCACTCGCTCACTCCACCTAACTAACTATATCAACTTTTAATACTCTCACTTTGTTCCACACACCCAATTGACTGTGTGATTACATGCAAGTGGATGATGTGGAGTGGCTGTGCTCTGTTTTTTTTATCTAGGCTATTCAATTTACTTATCAGAGTCAATCAGACTAGGTCTAGCTAAATTTTCATGTTCCAATAATCTAGTTGACCCCTCCCTACCTACCTACTTGTTTGACCGTTTTGCGTAATTAACCTCACTCACAGTCAGCCAGCATTACATGATATTTGGTGGATTGTTTTATACATTTTCCTAATTGGATCTGTTGGGTGCTTAAGCTGACATACAGGGTTTATCTGTGAGTGACTTGGTTGGTTGGTTTAAATGCCACCCCAACTAATTCCAGCCTCATTGAGAATCCTCCGTAAGGCCTCTGACATTCCTTCTCTATACGACAGGACTACAGTGGCTTTTAACTCTATGTTATTTTCGTCATCTCCATTATTAATCTTTCTTCTCCTATGGTTCTTCATATATTTTTGAATAAATTCTGATGGGCGGTGTGTTATTCACTAGAAATATTTCTTTTATTTGTTGGATTTCAATATTTAAATCGTCTGGCTGACTACTAGTTAGGCACTTTGCCCGATTCTATAGACATTTAACTGAACCCATCCTTCTTTACCGATTCTGGATGGAATGAATTGAAGTCTAAGTATTAATAAGAGTGTGTGTGTGTATATGTGTCGGTTTCCTATAAACGCCAACAAACATCTAACCACTCACCATCTTGTCTTCGCTTGTATTTTGCAGTTTAGCATGACCAACTCATCATGTTTGTATTCTACCTCAGAAGAGAATGGGATTCCGTCTACTGTTGAGTATGTATGTGTGAGAAATTGAGGTATATTTTGAGATTTCAAAACACTAGTGATTGAGTCATCCATATATTTCCACCATAACCTAGGTGAAGCAGAATTAAACGATCTAAGAGCCTTATGTTCCTAAATGTTTACAAATGTGTCTACTGTTATTACTGGGGGTGTTGGTGATCCTATTGCCAGCCTATTCCTTTGTTTAGATAGTTTATTGCGTAACAGTGAATACAGTAGAAGTTGGACATCACTGGACACCTTAATATTATGTGATGTTCACAATAAACTTACCTAATATGTAAAGAACGTAAGGGAATAAAAAAAAGTAAACATTACTCATCCAAGAATAAGACGAATTCACGTAAAACATATCATCATCATCGTCATCGTCGTCGAACAGAGCATTAGAATGACAGCCAGCACACTGTACCTCAAAAATTCATCCACTTTAAAGAAATTCTTGGCTGGAATCGACCGTGAAATATTCTGCAAACTGCTTCAACGCTACAATATAGTGCCAAGAGGCTTTATCAGCCCCATTTTACACGTGAATTTTAATGCCACATACCAAGTAATTCACGATGGAATGCTCAACTGAAGCGTATGAATTAAAGGCCACAATAAAGTGAGGTACCCTACTATGATGGATGTGATGAACTGAATCGTGCTACAGGCTGTAACTGAGCGAGAAAGCAGACATACTTTGAACCAACAAGATTTGAACTTCGCGGATGATTTATGTTGCACAAATACTCAAAGCTCTCCTATTGGAGAATAAACGATTTAGAAATAAATATCATTGCTTCTGAGAATTACTAAAAGCCATAATTATGTCATATGGTAACTGACTAGATTCAATGTGAAACTTTCCACAAATGTGCACCAGTTCAAGTTGCCACTATCCCTCCATACAGCACATAAACCAACAGAAGAGAGTGAAAAGAGATTAAAAGAGAGAGAGAGAGTGACACGATACAGAAGTCTAACTGATGGAATAAGAACAGTAATATGGAATTTTATTAGATACTATAAAACACAAAAAGTGAATGCATCTGCGACAGCCGTTCACAACGATCACTTTCAGCCATATCACCAACTGTCTCCAGTCTTCACTGGTCCTTACCATCCCCTGGACGCCGACAATATTTTTATTTATTTTTGATTTACAGCTTGATTCCACACTGTATTTTTGGTACAAGTATGGAATTTTCAGCAAGGATATCGGTAGCCCGAATTTTGCAGGCCGACCATAGATATCAGGTGTGCGCCGGCGTGAGCTCGAACCCCGGACCATGTGCATGGTCGGCGGGAGTCCTAACCACTGTGCCACCTCCCTACGTGGATGGATGGTTGGTTCAAACTAACTGTTGCGGATTTCACTCATTGATTATGAAGTCATGCTTTTGTTTGACCACCACCACCACCTCTAGCTCTTTCCCAACCTCATCCATACTATGTCAGTCAGCTAACATCACCAGTCGGTACACGAAGGCGGTGGCTAGGCGTAAGTGCTTAACACATGTCCTAATCATCCATCTCAATCGATGTAACAGCCTCACAACCTCGTCGATTGATTTACCCCACCCCTTCCTCATTTAACACTCGACAGATGCCTCACCTCAACACTGCTCATCGTATTACACCACCACCTAACAACTCGAGAGATAGAACACAGACAGCTACAATGATAGACAGGTATCAAGGATTCTCACGTCTTCCACTGTGTGAATGGCCATATCTTACAGCCGTAGAGGAGCATGTAGCTACTGCTGTACAGTACACACAGCCTTTGATGGATAGCTGGCCAGTCGGATATCACATCTGCTAAGCCAGAGATGGTGTAAGTTGGCCTAAAAATGCCAAACGAGCCTTCTGTATCCGTGGTGAGATTTAGTCAGCGATCAAATCAACCCACTGGGGCTGACTGATGCAACAACTTCTCAAATAAGTGAAATCGTGGTCAACACGTTCAGCCAGCCAGCCAGCCAGTCAACCACCAATTCACTGTTGCCTGCCTACCCTTATGTTAGGAGTAGTCGATGTAGTCCAGTCTATTCCAGTCATGTAGCATTCATTATCTTACATTTTACAGCAGGAGCGAATCACCTCCATGCTAAACATTCAAAGAATACTATTTCTGCTCAAGCTCAAGGTGTGTCTAGAAGACTCTCCTATATTTGTCAGCGTGTTCACCTAGGTGTAGGACTTTATCATCAACAGCCTATTCTATGTTGTATATTTCATATATGTCATATACCCTGAATTAGGAGCTTCAAACACTTCGATTTGAAAAGAAATGCATTTCAAATCACGGAATATACACATTTGATCATAGGGAAAAAAGACAGTTGCAGCGAAGAAAATTTTCTTCTCGACGAAATCATCAACTAGGCTGTACATTCGTGTATTTATAATAAATGGGTAAGAAAGTTGCAGAATAAGTCCTGGTCAAGGGTCAGATTATGATCCCACTAGATTTTTTATCCAAACATCCTGTCTAATTTTGTTATTTCTACATTTCTCACCCCTAATTGCACAATATGTCAATTTGCTCAGTAGTTATTATGATGCTACTTTGTCTGAGCTTTATCTTCCACCCTGTTTATTAGGGCATTTTAATTCCTAATTGTAATTTTATTATTCTTACCCTTGACCAGGATTTATTCTAGAACCTTCTTACCCATTTATTATAAATACACGAATGTACAGCCTAGTTGATGATTTCGTCGAGAAGAAAATTTTCTTCGCTGCAATTGTCTTTTTTTCCCTATGACTAAGTCAAAGGCGAAAGTAAATTGATTGAGA